CTGATGCCCTGATGCCCGCCCTCAGTGCTCTCTAAATGCCAACAGCTCCCTTGCATAACACAACATATATATATATATATATATATATATATATATATACTGTGTATATAGGCTTTATAGACAGGTAAGTTGAGAGTGACTCTTGAAGGACCAGCACCACAACCTCTTGTACCACTGTTTGAAGAATTTATCTTCCAGAATCTGGCAGTAAGGGAGTTCATTTTTAGTCCATCTTGAGATTTTATCTGTAGAAGATAACCTGCTTAATAATTATGCACACCTGAATATAAGGCATTTTTCACTTCCTGCCTTCATGAACAATAATATATAAAGTATAAGTGATTAAATACAAGATTAATAGTAGTTATTAAGATTGATGTTGTTTGGAATTGGTCAAATGTGCTTGGAAAAAAATATAATCAGAATATCAACTTGCATAATAATGATGCATGCACTGTATTTTTCCTCTTCTGATACACAAACAATGTTTACAACACACACCATTTAGATATTCACTTAATAAATAAAATTGATTTATAAAATTATTTTTATATAATAAAAAAAAAAAAATAAATAAAACAAAAAACTAAAACTCTATAAAAAATATATATATATATATATATATATATATATATATATACAAACATTGCTGGAAGATGTTCCTCATCCATAATTCAATTGTCTATTGTATTCTTCTGATAGCTTCCACACTACAGGTAGACACACAGACACACACAAATCCTTGTATATACATGCTGCACAATTGAATACAAATGCTGGATATTCTGCTTAACATGCACATTCCTTTGCATCGTGTGGAATATAAAATACTTCACATGTGACCTGAAATCTGAAAATAGAGCAGAAGGGGCAGGGCTTTTACCCTTTATGAGAGAGGAAAAAAGAGACAAAAGTGGAAAATGATCCATGTTGTACAGCTTTTGACCTTCCTGTCCCTGAGCCACATGCATACCACCTGGCCCTCACTGCTCCAGGTGGAGACAGAATGTACTGGCTCTTTTTCCTTACTCGCCAAATGTGCTTATTGACTCAGAGAGTTTGGAGAGTGCGTTAGGGGAGTAGAGAGCAGTTTATCTGTGCAGAAAGTGGTGTGACTCAGTGACATAATGCACCGTGGCTGCAGCTCTCAGTGTTTCGCCGAGCTAAATAAATAAAGGCTAAAGCTCAAACATTATACGTGCTTCACAGATTCCCTCTGGATGATTTGTAATCTATGAAACCAGTTTCTTGCTTGTAAGTCTGTGTTACATCAAATGAAATCAATTTCTTGTGATACCGTATATATGCGTATACACACAGAGACATATATAGCATAATACTTTATATACAATGTATATATTATATATTGTATATTTTACATGTTTGTGTGTTTTGATTTTGATTTTTTGATTTTTTTTATGTATTAGTATTATTTATTTTTGTGAAATTTTATTTTTATTATACTATTTTATTAAAGATTATTTTTTACTTTTTATTTCATTATTCTTATTATTCTTATTATATAAAGTTGTATTCAAGGCAATAAATAACTAATAAATAATTATACAATACTTTCCGTACCCACTGTATATATATATATATATATATATACAGTATATACATTATACTGCTAATAATGTTATTATTATTACACAATTTGATTAATTTAATATATTAATTTAAAATAATTTAATAAATAATGTTTGATATTTAAGTTTTACATTTTTAAATGTAATTTCTTTTAATAAAATAAATCATAATTAATATTATAGGTCGCTATGTTACTAGCCTAATACCAAACTGCAGCACAAAACTGTAATGCTTGCAGCCGTCACGTGTGTATGACTGATAAAGGAGGGGGTTTTGATGACGTGTGCTAATTTTTTGGCTTGGCAGCCCCTGCTCTCGATATCCATTCCCCTTTTGTGTGATCCTAGATGAAGCAGGAGAAAGAGCCTAAGCATGGCTGACTGGACATCTCACTTAGATGTTAACAACCCCATGGCCCATATTCCCATTTCTTCATCTGTCAAACCATCTCTGACACGCTATCTTCAGCATTAAGAGACAGATGATTATACAGGTTTGGGACCAAGATAATAGGTATCGGGTCGTGCTCAAGAAGAAGATGAGAGAGACTGAGATTCTTCTTAATGGAGAAAATCAATTAGAACTGCTGTGATGTCTATTCTGAGCTGAGCCCTTCATAGTGAAGTTGACATCACACCGCCACCATGTGGTTGGGTTTCATCAGGCTTTGAATAATAATGATGTTGTCAAAGAAATGTTGGTAAATTAAGTGGTAATTGTTTTTAACAAGGAAGCTAAGAAATCACATTTCTGGATGGTTGAAAACAAATAATTATAAACTGACAAATGTACAAATATTCATCTTTCAGTAAAAAGATTTTATTATCCTAAACATTAACTTTACATGCATAGTGAAACATGAAGTATCTTACTACATCGAAAAAAAATAATAAATACATAAAATTCTACAACAACAACAACAAAAATTCTTGAAACATTAATTTAATGCCTCTCCATTTGAGGCTCAGTTTTAAAATTGAAACATTATATTACACATTAGCAGTGTTCATTTACATGCTGAAATCAAAATCTTGTCCAGTGAACACAGCATTTAAGAATATATTATAAACTACTATAAAGACCGCAAAGGAATGTGCATAAACTGTGTAATTAGAACAAACTGTTTGTTATTTTCATTTTTTGGAAGAAAGTGCTTAATTTCAGATGTTAAAACACTAGCTTTTTGGCATCAACATCAGCACTGACAACATACAATCCTAAGGGCAGTCATATGCTGCAGTGATATACTGCTTTCTCTATTGAGTTGATTCTAGATTTAGAGGGGGAATTCAGAGAGCTGGACTCACCAGTAAGAGGCAGTATGAATCTAAGATGCCACTGCCATTGAAGGATTTTGTGGCAGGACATTTTAAGTGTTTGCTAAATTTCACTATCATTATTTGTTTTTGTACAGTACAGAGAAACCTGGCAGTTACACTTGTCAAAATGTTAATAAATGTTTCCAGGGAGTAGTGTGTACTGGTAAATGTACAAAGTAACAACTAAAATGAATTTTTCAATCCAAATTTTCAAACATGTTCTGTCGTGAAATAGATTACTTTAAAGCCAGTCTTATGGCTTGTACGACGAAGTATTGTGTCCTAATTTATGGAAACAGATGCAGAACTCCTCATGCATGGAAAACATAGCAACATGACCTGTTGTCTCTCTAACTATTGTATGCAACTTTCATGCATTATTAAAATAATAGTATTAATAATAAATATTATTTGGTCAACATCATTTGCAATATTCAGTCAGTATATACAAAAACAAAATGCTTCTTGGCAAAGTAATATTGCCTTTGTAATTCAAAATCTCAGTGCAAAAGGAGAACATAAAAATATTTGTACAGCTTGAGCACTAAATATATTCACCAGTAAGAAGTATGACATTCACCGTAAAAGAAAAGATTTACCCACAAAGGTCAGGTGAATAACATGTTCTTGAAAAAGGTCATACAAACCAATTCTCTATGACATACTGATAACAAAACATGTTGACAGTGGGGAAAATGTATACTGCAAACTTTATGCAAATAAGAGCAATTGACATTAACAATGCATAAAAATCTGCCAAGAAGTCTTGTAAACGTCAGTGTTGAATATGCCATTAGCAAATTTACACATCACTGTTTCAGTTTTGCCATTTTCAAAAAACAGTCTGCTATCAAAAATACTGTAGTGCGATTCATTAAGGAACAGTTAACCCCAAAATGAAAATTTACTCACTCTCAGGCCATCCAAGATGTAGATGAGTTTGTTTCTTCTTCGGAACAGGCTTGGAGAAATTTTGCGTTACATCACTTGCTTTGCAGTGAATGGGTGCCGTCAGAATGAGAGTCCAAACAGCTGATAAAAGCTTTCTCCAGTGAAAAAGATGTCTTCTCTGAATCAGGGGAGAAATATGCACAGGTCAAGCACTGTTTACAAGCAAAAACAGTTGACTTTTTCACTGGAGGAGGCAATATTATTGGAATATGGATATATTTTGGCCAAAAGCGATGGTTTAAATTGAAATGCCTTAATGATGGATTTGTTTCTCACAAACATGCAGCTTTTCACTTCACAAGATGTTAACTGCAGGACTGGATAATCCACAGTGTGGATTATTCTGTTGTTTTATCAGCTGTTTGCACTCTCATTCTAACGGCACCCATTCATTGCAGAGGATCCACTGGTGAGCAAGTGATGTCATGCTAAATTTCTCCAAATCTGTTCCAGTGAAGAAACAAACTATTCTACATTTTGCATGGCCTGAGGATGAGAACATTTTCATTTTTGGGTCAACTATTCCATTAATAACCCAACTTTAACTAGGTCAGAGAGCTCAGATCAGATAAAAGCATTTCATTAACAAAACATAAATAAATAAATAAATAATTTATTTAATAATTTAATTAATAATTAAATACAACAATATACAGCAGAATAAATAAATGATCATGCAAATAATACAGTATCATTCATAATCAGAGATTCTATCCCTAAGAGAATATTCCCATACAACTCACACAGATAAATCACAAGGAGAAAATGAGAAAAACCAGCTTGATTCTTGATTGGCAGCTGATAACAAGACAGACGAGTACTGAATTTGCAAAAACAAATAGTATATGCCCCAAAAACAATGTATAACTTGTGGATTCAGATTGCAATTATGAACATTAAATACACATTAAATCTTTGGTCCCGTTATTATTACTATAGCTGTCAAACATGCTGATGCAAATCTGATGTTCAATTTCCCCCCCCCCCCCCCCAACTTTCAGTTTCATGAATTGCTTATGTTTTGTTACTTGTGTCAATAGTGAGTTTTAAATCATGCTCTTTTTTGCTAAAAGACAAATAATCACACTTACATTCAGGTCCATTTGAAATTGTTGTACATATATCATAAAATCATATTACAATTTACAGCTAGACTGATTTTGTTGCGGATTTGAGTTAATCTAAAGCTCCATTTGAAAATGAAGGCCACATTTTCCTGACACAGAGATGTAGATGCATCTTAAAGGTTTAGACATGGTACAAATCTGCATACATCTGTGCAGTCCAAAGTCACTCAGATCCTGCGTACCTCAAGGAATGACACATACTTGGGTGACATGAACACTATCAGTCATACTTAACTGAAATGCATGCTGACATGTAAGAGTAAAAACCCTTAGGTAAACTGTGACACAAAAAGGGACACACATACATCACTATAGACCCCTCGACACAGACAACAGGAGCTTTAGAAGTACAAGTAGTATGTCCAGTAGAGGAGGTTGATCATGATGAAGGAGAGGGGAAAGGTCAGCCTTGAGTAGTTGTCGATGTAGTGCGGGTTTTTCACTTTGCAGCAGTTCAGACAGCGCACGATTTGGCGTGCCGTCGACATGCACTTGGTGCAGCGGGTCTGTGGCTGCGAGGAGTTGATCTCCTCCTTACTCTCACTGGGGGTGGGGTTGCTGGCGCTGCCCATTCGGGACAGCATCTCCTCCCGTTTACGGACCCGCAAAGTGTGGCTGCCAATGGAGGTGACGATGCCATTCATCTCGTCCTCGCGCTCCTGCATTTCCTGGCCATACTGATGCAACAATTAGACATAAATGTGTTTGATTTATTGTTATGACTATGGCAAGGTGAAGATAATCATATACATGGCCATTACTGAAAAAAATGGCTTTTTGATTTTACTTAATATTTTTAAAGAAATAGTTCACCCCAAAATTAAAATTTGCTGAAAATTTACTCACTGTAAGGCCATCCAAGATATACATTTTTTTTTCTTTTTTTTTTCTCCTCTGAACAGAAATTTAGCATTAAATCACTTGCTCACCATCGGATCCTCTGCAGTGAATGGGTGCCGTCAGAAAGAGCCCAAACAGCTGGTAAAAACATCACAGTAATACACAAGTAATCCACACAACTCCAGTCCATGTCTTGTGAAGTGAAAAACTGCCTGTTTGTAATAAATTATTCTATCATTATGACGTTTTATTTATTTAAAGGGGTCATATGATGCTATTTAAATTTTTCCTTTCTCTTTGGAGTGTTACAAACTCTTGGTGCATAAAGAAGATCTGTAAAGTTGCAAAGACTAAAGTCTCAAATCCAAAGAGATATTCTTTATAAAAGTTAAGAGTCAGCCACACCTACCTAAAACGGCTCGTTCTAACACGCCCCCACATACCTACATCACTATCTGGTAAGATTTGCATAACGCCTCCCAAATGTTCACGCAAAGAAAGAAGGCGTAACTTTTATTCTCGCTGTAGTATTGTTGCCACCGCCGCCATGTCGTGAAGGCGCTGTGTGCTTCGTTGTGAAAGCGAAACTACTTTGTTTGGCCTTCCAAAAGAGGACGATATCCGCTTCGTCATGCCTGGAGCTGATCCGTGCTGGTCGCTGAGGAAATACAACAACTTCACGCTGTCAATCGCCGGATCGGCTTTCACCATGGACGAAGTGGAGTCCAGCCCGGGGTCGTCACATGTGGTTGCCGCAGGCATCACAATATGGTGAGGGGCGTAACATTTCCGTCACACGCTTGAGGAATTCGGCCAATCACAATGCACTGGATAGCTGGCCAATCAGAGCACACCTCGCTTTTTCAGACCAATGAGCTTTGTAAAAATGTACGCGTTTCAGAAAGGCATAGAGGAGAAACAATAATGGTAACACTTTACAATAAGGTTCCATTAGTTAATGCTAGTTAATGTATTAACTAACATGAACAAACAATGAACAATACATTTATTACAGTATTTATTAATCTTTGTTAATGTTAGTTAATGAAAATACAGTCGTTCATTGTTAGTTCATGTTAATTCACAGTGCATTAACTAATGTTAACAAGCACAACTTTTGATTTTAATAATGCATTAGTAAATGTTAAAATTAACATTGGCTAAGATTAATAAATGCTGTAGAAGTATTGTACATGCATAGTTAATGTTAACTAAAGTAGTTAACTAATGTTAACTAATGAACCTTATTGTAAAGTGTTACCACAATAATGTACAGTATGTGGAAAATAATGTGCTTTTTGAACCTTAAACCGCACAAAATAATGTTCTTTTTAGCAGCATCATATGACCCCTTTAATTATTGCTTACGGCTAAAATGTAATATTAATATATTACATAATATTAATAATATCCTAATATTGCATTCTCCAGTGACATCTGTTGTTAAATCGTGTGGATTAGTCATGGATTACTGTGATGTTTTTATCAGCTGTTTGGACTTCATTCATTGGACTTCATTATGACGGCACCCATTCACTGTAGATGATCCATTGGTGAGCAGGGGATGCTAAATTTCTTTAAATCTGTTTCGATGAAGAAACAAACTCATCTACATCTTGGATGGCCTAAGGGTGAGTTAATTTTCAGCAAATGTTCTGTTTTGGGTGAACTATTCCTTTAAGGTAAGTGGTTTTAATATTCTTCATATTAAACATACATTTTTAGTTAGACAATGTTTTTTAGATATATCAGCTTATATAGTGGAAGGACCTGTTAATGTTGAAGAACAAAAGCAGGAAATGACGTGTCACTGCAGTGACATTTGCACAGCATATACTTCTCATTGAGACTTGATACATTATAGTATAGTACATTTCAGTTAATGCAACAAAAAGGGATTCAACTGAAGCAAACTTCAATTTTACATACATTGAAATGGAATGAACACAATAAACTTCTATAACAACTGTGTTGCTATAACTAAATTGAACAAGCAGCATAAATCATTCATTTTGATAAAGGTTCTCACCATATATGCATTGGCAGCGTTTGGCTGGTGTAATGTGCAAAAATGAGCGACTGCGTATTCAATCAGAGCGCCAAAGATGAAGCTAAAGCAGATGCCCAGATACACGTCAATGGCTTTGATGAAGCAGTTGGCATTGGGTAGAGAGGTGCGGGCTCCCATCATCAGGGTGGTCATAGTTAAGACTGTGGTCACTCCTGTGAGTTAACGACAAATAGTATTGAGTTATTGTTGAGTTATTGAGTTTTGGGTTATTGTGGTGATGAAGAGAGTATGACGTTAGGTCAGAAAAATGCTATTACTAGACAAGAGTGTTGCATAAGTTATTTCTGTGAAAAAGCAAATCCAGATCCACTGCATTAGCTATGTTGTTAGAGTAATGGAGTTATGTGATCTGAAACTATTAATAAAAGAACAAAATCTGTTATTTTGCTAAGTGGTTGCATCAGCAAATAGAAAACTTATGCTCACCAAGGCACTGTATTTGATCAAAAATACAGTAATGTTATGAAATATTATTACAAATCAAAATAGCTGTTTTCTATTTTAATATATTTAAAATGTAATTTATTCATGTGATGGCAAAGCTGAATTTTCAGCAGTCAATACTCCAGTCTTCAGTGTCATATGATCCTTCAAATATAATTGTAATATGTTGATTTGTTGCTCAAAACATTTCTTATTATTATCAATGTTTAAAACAGTTATGCTGCTTAATAGTTTTGTGAAAACTACTTTGTTTCAGGCTGTTTTTCAGAATTTTATGCAAAAAAACAAAAATTACAAGTATAAATGTAATTTCTTTCAGTAAAAAAAAAAAAATTCTGGTGATCTCATGTTAATGTGGTAATGATTGCATTTTGTTCCTACCTATGCAGATGCGAGCAGGTACTGAAGATTGACTGATCCAGAATGAGACCCAGGACAGGACCACCAGAGCACTGGAGGGAACATACGTCTCCAGAATGAAATATAAGATGCTCCTCTTGAGTTTGAAGTGGAAGATCAACTTTGGGTAATTACCTGTTACATTATTAAAGAGAAAGTAAAAACATCAATACAGCACATACAGTCTCCAGTGTGTGTGTGTGTGTGTACCTAGTATTCCCTACATTATGAGGACCAAATGTCCCCACACAAGTATAGTAATACCAATACATTTTGACCTTATAGGGACATTTTTTTGGTATTTTGGGCTTATCAGTTATATAGAATTAAGTTTGTGTAAATCTAAACCTCTCTCTCTCTCTGTATGTATGTGCGTGTGTGTGTGTGTGTGTGTGTGTGTGTGTGTGTGTGTGTCTGTCTGTGGACATACCAGTCTCATAAACGGCTTCAGATTCAGAGGTGTAGTGATCTTCAAGGGTGTACTGAGCCAGCTGTAAATGATCAAGACCACTAACTGACTGGTTTCCCCTTGTCCAATAGAAAACCACATCTTTCACATTATATCCCCCTGTGGAAAACATAATATAAATTGAGGAGACAGTTATCACTACATAATAAGTAATTCCAATGCTGAGAGCTGCTATATTTCCACCAACTTACACTTATACAGCAGTAAGAAAGCATTCAATTACCAGTAATTTTATATGCAATGCTACTAAAGGACTATACTATAATATAGGCATTACCATAACATCAATAATTCTGAACATAGCAGTTCAATCATTTATAGGCTAACCTGAAATGTTAATTCACAGGGGTCCTCTGAGGAAAGTTGCTAAATAAGGACTGCAATAGTTACATCCTTGTTAGCCATTTTCTTGTCTCTCTCTTTTTTTTAATCAGCTAGACAATTACACTTGTAACAGTTACATTTGCAAAAAGCACATATGAGCCTGAAATGCAAAATAATAAGCCGAATTAGATGCAGAACATAAAAAAAAATCACTGTATACAGTGTATTCACAGTTTGTGAAAATAATCATATTAAATACGAGAAAATGTTTTTTGTTAAATACAGTTTTGTCATCTCTTATTTATTTTGTAATGTGTTTTTGTAAAGTCATATAATATAATATAATATAATATAATATAATATAATATAATATAATATAATATAATATAATATAATATAATATAATATAATATAATATAATATAAAGTTACAGTATAATACTGTTTTGATCTGCTATTGTAATGTTAATTTGACTGTTTCATAATGTGATTTTTGGTGAATTGTATTAAAACTAGCTATGGTTAGTTTGACACACAAACATCAATCAATTAATCAATCAATAATATAACCCTTCGTAGAGAAAAATACAGAAATATATTGTCCCAATTTTTTAAAGTGAGACTTTTATTTTATTAATTTAAACATTGAACTAATAAATGTCCCCAGTTTCCATTTCAGCAATCTGGTCACCAGGGTTTTTTCCCCTTATAAACTAAAATACCCTATTTAAAAAATACTCTTCTGGGTTTTAGAACCGCAAAATAAGCTGCTCTATTCTTGCAGCATGTTGTATTATGTTGTAATACATAATGTGCACCTCAAGATGGCACTGTGTCATGCAAAGTTTAGCGTGCAAAGGCGATCTCATAAAAAAAACTTGCTGCACAGATTAAATATTTCCCCCAATCTAGAGCATAAAACATTGTGAAATATGTTGCCCTGAGTAAATAACTCTAGCTGTCAAACTGTTTTTAATAGCTTGTGTCACTTATTTAACTTTATTTATATGTCCTACTGAAAATACCAGCATGCACAACTAAGAATTAACATGCTGGTCCAGGCTGCTTTATTCTTTTATGTTTTCATGATGTTTACAGTAGCTGGCTCATTCATCTCTCGCTGCATATTGTGTGAGTAATCCATCTAATATTGCCAAAAATCACATACAGCAGTCTTTCTGTTAAAGTAGAAGCCAGGTAGAGATGCCAGCATCCAAAACACACCATATGCTGGTGACCAGCCATACTTGTCTTTTCAGCAGGGTAATGTCCATTTAACTGGCCAAAATCATCAAGTGGATGTAACACCAGCTGACAAAGTAAACCTTGAAATATTTTGAATGACTGCTGCCTTAACTATCTTACAGTGGCTTCAGAATCAATGCAATAAATCAACATAATGCTCATGTGTATGAATAATATAAAACCTCTTTAATATTCATACATGCTTAGCCAAACACTCACACAGCAGTCTTAGGTAAGTGAGCATACTGAAGATCTTGAATGCAGATTCATTTTTTACAGTTTAAGGGACATTTATGGTGTGTACACCTGGAGCATCTATCATTAGTGAAATGAATATTTCACATGTACTACACAAATTTAGAAAAAGGCTTGAAACATGCATGTATCTTAAAGGGTTTTTCTAATTGGGTCTCATTCACGTTTATTTGTGAGTAAAACATGTAAAATGATAAAAGAAAAAAATCATTATATCACAATAATTACAGGAATAAATTATATTTTAAAATATATTACAAATGAGAATTGTTATTTTAAATTGTAATAATATATTTTTTATATTTTCTAATAGTACTATTCAAAAAGGTTTTTTAAATGATCATTTTACACGTTTTATTCGCAAATAAATGTGAATGAGACCCAATTAGTGAATTATTGGTGTTTTTCAAGGTGACCTTATATTGCTCCTAGTCTCTTCCTGAATTTGCAGTACAGAATGCTATATTCCGTCCAAAGTGTGATTTAGTACACATATGTTGTGTGACAGGCAGAGGGTCTAAACCCTTTAAGATACATGCATGTTTCTACCTTTTTCTAAATTTGTGTAGTACATGTGAAATATTCATTTCACTAATGATAGATGCTCCAGGTGTACACACCATAAATATCCCTTAAGCTGTAAAAAAATTTATCTGCATACATCTGCATGCCGTATGCTCACTCACCTAAGACTGCTGTGTGAGTGTTTGGCTTGTCATGTATGAATATTAAAGAGGTTTTATATTATTTATACACATGAGCATTATGCTAATATGTTGCATTGATTCTGAAGCCACTGTAAGACATTTAAGGCAGCAGTCATTCAAAATATTTCAAGGTTTACTTTGTCAGCTGGTGTTACATCCGCTTGATGATTTTGATATATTTTTTATATTATAAACGAATAAAAAAATCTAAATCAAATTAACTTTATGAAAGATAGAATTTTAAGCATGTTATAAATTATAAATATATTTTGAACTCTGCAATGAGTCTTTCATATTTCAGAATAAAACAAAATATGCGTTACAAGATGGTGCATTTATTTGATATGATTATGCATAAAAATGCAGTCATGTTTAGCCTAGGCCTATATAAATGTTAAATTTTGTGACCACTTAAGCTATTACTAGTGAAAAACCCACAGGGTTGTAAATTCTTTACAATCTGTCTATAGAAATATCCTATTATTTGAGACCTACAGCTTTCGAGTTGAAGGGTGCACGTCTGTCTGTCCATGGGATATTTGGTTAGATCCATACTGCAGGCCACCGTTGTGGTAATTCTAGTGAAACAGAGAGAAAAAAAAAGAGTGACGTACATGAGAGAATGTTGTTGCTTATATAACACTAGAAATCAGCTCACTGTCTGTGGATGCTACTTTCAAGCTTAATTTTTGGTGCCAGCTACCCATCTGTACACAAGCTTTGAGTCCCTTGCCGCCGCCTCTATTCTTACCCTGTTTTCTGCCATTGTGAACTCTTCCACTGGCCCATAACTATCCCTGCCTCTTTCTAGTTGTCCTCTCATGCCCTTATCCCTCCATCAATTCTCCAGTCAGTCCTTCAATAGTAAACCCTGTCCTCAATCTCCTTTTATAAGACCCCAGTAGCATCTGACTGTAGAACAGATCCGGTGAATGACACCTCACTACCTCAGGGCATACAGCACGGTTCCGTTGGGGAATATCCGGATCAGTCTGTTTTCGACAGTGATGTCATGCAGGAAGGATTTCTTGGAATCCACAATGAATGTATCAGGGACCCAAAGGAGCTCTGCCAGTCTCCCATCCAGACTCAAGCTCTTATTGCCATCAAAACACAAGCGTTCGTCTGTCCAGCGCTGACGAAGAAAGATGGTGGCTGTGTAATCCTGGGGAGGTTGAACAGAGATGCTCATTTCAGATATGTGCACCACAAGCTTAGATTTACATTATATATTCAGCTCTTATACAACAGGCTCTTTGAAATACGGGCCAATGATGTGAAACTTTTTTTTTCTATTGAGATAAAAAAAAATGCAATTTATACAGACAATGACTTGAACACATCTCTTGTCAATTTCTGAATTACTATTCATTTTGAAGTTTTTGTAGGGATTAAAGTCCAAAATTGGTGTATATTATATTATATTATATATAACATATGTATGGATTAAACATGCATTTAGAAAATTGATAAGATTAATTTTATACATGTGTAGATACATTATGAATGAGATACATATATTTCTAAATAGAAATTTCTGTTTTTTATTACCTAAGATACAAATGAAGAATTTGTCACTGACCCCATGCTTTCATATTAGTTGTATGAAGAAAACATTTACAGAAAAATGTAGAATATTTTGCGATAGCTTAGTAATTTAGAAATAATATTTAGATGCTTGTGGTTTGTAAGATTATCATACCATGTTGATTTCTGATATGGTGTCTATGCTGGCGATATCCAGACTCATTCCTACAGTAACAGGCCCATCTGAAGAAAAAAAAAACACAACGGCACGCACTGCATTCACTACAGAGCGACAACACTGCTCACAGAGAAAGACAGCAGAAAAAGGTACTTAATTTACATGCGTTACAAGAGTGGACTGCATCAACTCAAGCCCGGAACGTTTCCACTGAGTTTACATTTGTTTTAATTGCTGTTGAGGATGATGATAGGATTTTAAGAGAAGATAAAAATCCACTTATGCAAGATAATAGTTTGTGTAAATGTAAAAGCTTTGATCGTCATACTGCCAAATAATGGCCTAAGGTACTTGTTGTATCCCTTCATCAGTTTCTGAATGGTGGGAGGCAAGATCTCCTCTGTGCTGCTGACAGAGTCATCCATGCTCCTGTAAAAACAGCAGAACACAAAAAACACACAAATACACACGCATTAAGTACTGCGCTATTATTCCACAAGTCAGTGCAGAAAAGCAGAAAAGCAATGTTACTTCCACCGAGCCAGGGCATGTTTTGGACTTAATTGCCGATAACTTATGGCCTAGATTTGAAACTGTGTATTTTTAGATTTCATCTTTTCTCTCATTAAAGCACTGCTGCTGACTGTGGCGTGTGCAATTTGAACATCCTCAGTGATGGTAGAAGCAACTGTGTTCTTTCCCGCAGAGCAAAGTCTCTGTTTCTACAGTGTAAAAGGCCCATGAGCTTCAGATATTATTCAGCTTCAGGGTAACAACCCCACAGAGCACAGCAGCACATGTGGGAAATACTTCAAGAGACGTCTTAGGGGGATAAAAAAACCTGCTTGGTTGACACTACACAATACCCTCACGAATATTCTAGAATGAACAGAAACAAGTACTGTGGGCCAAGCACAGCAGGAGGACAGAGGTACACATGGATTTGTACTGCTTCTCAATGCAGCAGATCTCTTCCGTCCCTTCTGTAGCTCTCTCAGACATCGCCATACCCAGAATATTCTTCTTCTATAATTGCATACAGTCTGAGACCACATTGCAAATCCAAAAAGGACATAAACAGAAGCTTTAAGGAGTTACAATGAAACAATTAAAACAAAGAATAAAGCATAAAACATTCTGATGTAAAATTATTAGGAAATACTTAAAATTCTGCATTATTTTTAGGTCTCTAATCAAAGTAGATTTGCAATATTGATCAAGTGACTGATTTACCCAATGTTTTTGCTTTCATTGAATCTCAAGATGCTCTTTGGATCTTTCTCAAATTATACTGGAACACATCGTCATCAGATTTGACAAAAGTTCATGCAACTCGAGTGCTGCGGTCATTAAAATATAAAATGGACAAATCAAATGTTAAGACAGTATGAAATTCATGTTAATTTTGCTCACAATATATACTGTTCAAAAATGTGTGGTCAGTATGTTTTATTTTTTTTAAATGAATACTTTTTTTCAGTAGGAATGGATTAAATTGATAAAAAGTGTCAGTAAATATGTTTATAATGGTACAAAAGATTTCTATTTCAAATCAGTTATGTTTTTTGAATTTTTTAAAAAGGTATCCATGTTTCCACAAAAATATTAAGCAGCACAGCTGTTTTTAACATTGATAAGAATAAGAAAAAAGTTAGAAATAAGATAAAAAATAATAAGTTTCAGCATATTAGAATGAAGGATAATGTGACATTGAAGACTGGAGTAATTGCTGCTGAAAATCTAATTTATCAAATTAATGCAGCCATAGTGAGCATAAGAGTAATATATTTTTCTTTCAAAAACATTGCCCTACTACTTACTATTTGTAATTTAAAAAAAAAAAAACAGTATAAGGAAAAATCCATTCTATATAAGCTATTGACTTAAATCTATAATTCAATATAAACATTTTCTAATTCCAAAATCAGGTTTGCCTCAAATAGAATCACTCATCTTCACCTGTATCCAGGTATGAGACATTTTTTTCTGACATTTTTATCCATATGATGTACGGAATTATGCATGCTAAAATGCACACACATATTTGTATCAAGAAAAAAGACAAAAGATCAAAAGAAAGGAAATGAGACAGATGGTGAGAGAGTGTGAGAGAGACCCAGAGAGTTTGGAAGACAGACGGAGAGCTCTAGGTCATTGACATGATCGCTCTATTAAACTGTTACTTAAATTAAAACAAATAATTCAATAAAACAAGAAGTGAACATGCAGGTCACTGCCTCTACATTACCCCCTATAAACAAAGGCTGTTGGAAAACATTTTTCTCCTCAGACACATCTGATCATGTTCTGCATCACTGCAAACTTGGTACTTTCTACATGTATGGCTGAAAAGCACAGCTAGTGTTTCAGAATGTCTGTTTTTCAGGATGCTTTTCTAGATGAAGTCTGACTCCACATGATAAATGTGGATCCCATGATAAAGCTGAAGGGTGAAATTTTTTGATGTTACAATATTTTCTACTATCTCAGCTTAATAAGCATAGACAGCTAAAAGCAAGCCATTTGTAGGTTGTTTTCGTAACACTTTCTCTGAGGTGTAGCCATTGCTCTGTTTGTTTGAGCATCCCAACACAGCAACATTGGCTCAACCAATAATGTGACTTTGGGGCAGGATCTGACTGTCACCGTACAGAAGGAGACCAAGGACGGAGAAGTAAAGTAACCAGGGTTCTTTATTGAACAGGGGCTGAGAGAAGAGATGGAGAGCAAACGGGTTAAGCAACAGTCTATTGAATGGAAGGGATCTAGCTCACATGATGACGGGTTCCTTCTAGGATCGGGCTGAAGAGGATGGCACAGAGACAGGTCGGCGTCCGGGTTCTTGAGTCAGGTAAGGAGTAGCGTAGTGAACTCAAGACCAGACAAAGTGTGACTGCAGTGACTGAGTATTTGAGCTAGTGTCGATGAGGCGGTGACAGGTGCGGCTGATTAGTACTCTGGTGATTGTGAACGGGTGTGTGAGGTGATTGGGCCTGACGAGGCTGGACTATCCCTGACACTGACCGTCTGACCAATGGCAAACAGACATCATTTTTGAAATTCTTTTTGGTGACACCAGTTGCACAGAAATTACACACTTCAGCTTTAATAATCCATGCTAGTCAGGAAAACAGGACAGGGTCTTTACATTTGGAAGCTCAATAATCCTCTAACTAAAGAACAATTTAGTATTCTGTCATGCAAGGAAAACAAGTAATGTGGGTTAAATAAAAAATAGCCATATCATAAAAGCAATGCCATTTGTGTTGTTTTATCGTATCACACAAGCTGTGTATTTTACATTTTTAAAAAACACTTCTTCTGACTGAAAATAAACAGAGTGATTATATGCCAGGCTTGTCTATTTAGTAAGATTAGACATTTTTAGCATTAAAAGGCAACCCTTTGTTTGCTGCCCCCTTCAGGCTGAGGGAATGCTGGGTTACTGGTCTGTGAAAGCTGGGTAGACCGTTTTTCTCTGCTGAGTGTGGCAGTTGATAAGCATCCATCATACTCTTATAGGCATCTAACATTATATTGATACATTTGATACAACATGCTTTGACTCTTTATGTGAAATATGAAATGGAGATGTGTCTGCAAACGATTTTACTTCGATGTCCAAACAAATCGCTCTTTTGAATACTATCTTTTAATGAACAGATTGAACCATTTTACTGAATTTAATGAACAGGTTGAATGTAGTTCACTGAATCGGACTGAATGCAGTTCTCAAGTTAATTGAGTCAGTCACTACTCTCTCTCACAATGATCTGTGATAACAGTTCACAGACTCCGAGAAACAAGAGCCATTTCTTTCTGAAGTATTACTACAAACGATACAAGTAAAGCTAGTGGAAATATGTTTTACGAGTTGGTTTTAATAACTAGCATTAGGATTTATTAAGATTGGGATTATTTTTTAGCCAATTGATATATAAACAAGTTTTAGTATTGTTTAATATAAATGCATTAAACTAAATCTAAAACAAATGGCATCAAAATTTATTTTAATTTCTGCAAAATATGAAGGAGACACATGAAATTACAATAAACACAATTAATAAATCTTCATTTAAAACACACACACACACACACACACACACACACACACATAATAATTGGCAGTAAGTGTCTATACAAGTATGGTTTTGCAGGAAATAAGCCATGTCTTTAAAAAATCCTCTATACATTTTCTTTCTTAGTTCTGAACCAACATTGAGACTAAATCCAGCCTGTGTCTCTGGTGTTTAGGCTGACTGATGTGTTGTGTATGGAGGTAGAGCACTCCTAGCAGGACTGTCTCCCCAGCTGTTTCTGCTTTGGTCCACAGAGACAGTTTCTCAAGCTTGTATCAACTCCATCTCCCCGTCTACACACATCAGTGGTCATATGAGATATGAGCCCCAACATCACAAACTCTCTCTTTGAGAGTATCTGGGAGACCTTGCCCAGCACTGAAATATTAAACAACCCCAGAAAGATTGTGCAGAAAATAATTAAATTTTGTATATTTTTAAACTGATAGAAAACAGACTGAAACAGCAATAAAACAAATAAACAAATTAATGAATAAAAAATAAATAAATAAGCACGCTTGCCGGGCAATTTGTTTTCTGAAGCTAGTGAGTTCAGAGTGATGATGTCCGAATTACTTTCACCACTCTGATCTCCTCATGTGGCTTGGATCTAGTCTGGTTTACCCAGAAGTATATGTCAAAGAAATGCTTAGTGTATGCTTAGTGTACTGCGAGTTCATGCATTAAATATGGCTTTTAAAATAGATCATTCAGCTGTGTCTCTCATCTACAAAACAGTCCTACAGTATATTTCTGTTTCTACAGATCTCTGCCAACTGACCTATAAAATAAAACTTTAATCATGGGGAGTTTTTCGTTAAAATAACTTTTAGAAGGGTCATATTATAAATGTTTTTCTCTGAGGTCCAATTTGAATGTTAATACATTTTTTGTGCCAAATAACATAGTTTTTTGTGCCCATTTCAACCTCTCCCTGAATCTTGAAATTAAACAGGCATTTGAAATGACAAATACCACTTTTCTTCACCAAATCCTAAACTCTCCAACATTATTGCCATATCCGCTTATTATAAGCGACTTTTTTTCATCAGTCACAAATTTGGGCAGTGGCAGATTGCATTTTATAGGCTTATTTCCAAAATACACATGGGTATTTGAGAGAGAGAGAGAGAGAGAGAGAGTGAGAGAGAGTGAGAGAGGAAAGAAAGAGAGGCTCATTGAAAAGTCATTGACTGTTTCACTGTCAGTGACTGGGTTGATATATGCAAAACATTTTAATTATTTTTGTAAATAGTAAATGCAGTTTTTTATGCACGTTATCGCAGCTAACAAGAAACATTCTCAGCTAAAGTTCTGGCAAGGTTTTCTCAAAGTATGAGCAAACGTCCTTCCAGTAATGTTAACGGTTGTTCACAGTTATCTGGTTTTGCTGCTGTTCTTAAATGTTAGCACAAAAATGTTAATTATACATTGTCTATGGAATGTTTTATTTCTGAAAACGTTTAGCTGGACGTTCACCTAATGTTATTTACTTGTTTCAGAATGTTAAGAGAGCATTCAAAATTAACATTCCCATAATGACATAGATTATCCCATGTCCCAAATAACATAGATATCACACATAATCACAGCAAAAAATTGTGGTTGTTAGGTGTTGCAAATAAGTAATTTGCATGACATCAGTGGGCCAAATTTCTAATCACCTAACAGGCTTCATCAGCATATAAACATGAATGTCGATGTGTTGATGCATTCAGTCCAAGTTGCAGAAATATAGAATGAGCTGTTTTTGCAGCTAGGTTTCAAAAAATGCTCTTTTTGGCTGGAAAGTGAGTTTTGAGTTCTGAAAGTTACAGTATGATTTCATAGTACCACAAGCTCTTTTATCTCAAAAGATCAAGTAACATTTTTTATGACATGGCCCCTTTAAAATCCACCTAAACAATATTGGGTCTATATAGACCTGAAACCAGCCGTTTCAGATTTCAAACAACAAAACATTAGTCCCTCTGCAAGATTAGGCCTTCAATAGCGCATCCTTATCTTCATAAGCTAAGCTCTAAGAACCCAAAGAGGAGGTATGGCTCTTGTTGTTGTGGTTTGTTATGTGATGGAAGCTGAATTCCTGGCCAAACTATATGTGCACCCACTAAAGTCTCCCTGTTTGCCAGGAAGAGAGACTGGAGATTGGAGGGGAAAGGAGGACAGGAAGGGGGTGGGGGAAAGCAGATGGTGAGGTGAATTGATGTTGGCACACTTCCTCAACATCCCCCTTTGATCTTTTGCGTCGTCCTGACCAGGTCCTACAGCTTCCCATCAAATTTCAAAGGGCAGGCCAGAATACCAGCATCGATGATCAGATGCATATCTCATTAAATTGAATCTGCCTGAACTCTCATTGAACATGGCTGAGTGGTGGCCGTTCCAGTAAGTCAACTTGCCTTGTCTCTACACTGTCACCTAATCGTGTTAGCATTGCAGCTACTGTACCGCTGCATGGAAAGAAAAGCTCAAACAGGCAAAACAGCGAGGATACACGATACAAGCACTGTTATTTCCATCTGTAACCCATACATTGACTCAGATGGTCTCATTCAGGCTCACCCAAAAGTCTACAAAGATTAGCTATAATTCCATCCTTCCTATAGCTACACCTTTCACCAAGCCCACATAGCCTAATCTGGTGTGAATGGATACTTAAGGCATTTAGTCTTTTATTTGCTGCCAAAAGAGTAAAACCAAAATTATACCCGGCTTGTCATCTCGGCAAAGACGACACTCCGAAAGCTTATCACCCGGGAGAACTTATTGACAAAAATGGGTTTTCCGCCTCGGCTTTCCTATGTGCGTTAAGAAATGCTGTGTTTATCAACTTTACAAAGTTACTACTGAAGTGAATTCACATCCTACACTCTACAAGTTTTTGAGACAAAGAACTTAAGGGGGAATGACACAAAAGCAATAAACAGTGTAGGATGCATTCATATTCAGCTAGCCATATGGCAGTAATGAGTGTAGGAATAGCAAAAGTGAGATATTAATAAGCCACCAGGAGTTTCTTACCTGCTGATGAAAAGGACGAGGAGCAAAGAGCCCACAGAGCTACACAAATGCATGGCTGCTTGAGCGTTACGCGTCTGACTGAGAAATGAGAGACAAAGAATGGAGAGATTATGTAGAGATTCAACCGATTTGTACACAGAGATTAAGTATTACTGATAAATTTCACAGTTCAACATTTTAACTTGATGAGCTTGGCAAAATTAGGGCAGGTTTTCTCCATCCACCTTAAATGTGTCTAGAGACTGTTTAGAGACAAAAATATACTACTTACTCAAATTTTGGCTTGCGTAATAAGGTGATAAACTCGATAAACTTTGAGCTAACCAATGAATATATGAAAAAACAATGTGAAATTGCTCATTTAAATCATTTAAAATACTTATTATTTGTGAAACATTTGTCTTCTGAAATCATTAACTTCAGACCTGTACATATAAATTTAACCATTGAATATATGCACTCTGATGCATAATTCCAGAGCATGGAGTGAAATAATCCCTTAAAAATGTTTTAACATTGGAATACAGTTCACTCTCACAACAGATATTCTGATGGTGACATAAAACTCAACAGAAACTGTGCATTTTTTCCAAGGAATTATGTAAAACCAGTTTAGCTATGTTTTCGCCAACTACACAAAGATGACAAGATACAACCGTATAAGTAGATTTAGGTTTTAAAATTATTCTCTTTTCAGCCTTGTAAATAACATAGCTTTTATCTGGCCCTATATTTCAGAGTTACATTTTATCTTCTTGATGTCTATTTTGAGCCTTGATGGCAAAAAATAGTCTGTGATTTTTTGCTCAGTCTTCCAGCACCATTGCAATCTGTGTGCAGCTGTGACGATGAGTTTGAGACAACAGACGTCTGCCCTGAAGCCTGTGTTCATAAATACACAATGTGCAGGAAGTGCACAAATGCACTTAAATTCTGGTTTGCATGGATAGGGCTATTCAAAGCAGTCATGGTATCTCTTGATATCATGGTATTATGTAGACATGGCCAAACAAACACAAAACTGTCATAATGTTAACATGAAAAATCTAAAACAATATTTTTTTACACAGACCATTACAAAAACACACTAAGATGTTATGAATGCTCTTCCATTCTGCCTGTCAGTGCTATTAAATCCAGGTTGCTCCACATACAGCAAAGATCTCTAAGATCAGAACATTTAATTTAATTATTTATTATTTTTATACTCTTTTCTACTCATCAGCTCTTCATAATGGATTGTGATGGAGGCAGGTAGCAGAATAAGAACCCCTGTTCCTGACCATGGTAAAGCATGTTACCATAAGAGCATATTTCTGGTTGTCAAACTGAGGTAAAAATTACAGAAATCATCTTAAAGGGATAGTTTACCTCCAAATAATGGCATTCCAAAACTGAATGACTTACTTTCTTCTGTGGAACACAAAATTGTTTTTTCTGAAAACCATTTAGAATTTTTTAATAGAAGTCGATGGGGTCTACAGATGAAACACTCTTGATGATGATAAGATGGTGATGATACATCTATATCATCATCATCTTATCATCATCAAGAGTGTTTCATCTGTGCAGACCCCATCAACTTCTATATTAAAAAAAAATACAAAATGGTTTTCAGAAAAACCTATTTTGTGTTCCACAGAAGAAAGAAAGTCATTCAGTTTTGGAATTACATTATTTGGAGGTAAACTCCAAACCTCTTTAAAAAAACTCTTAAAATATCTTCTTTTATATTCCACAGAAGAAAGAAATTCAGGTTTGGAACATCATTAGGATGAATAAATGATGACAGAATTATTTTTAGGTGAAATATCCCTTTAATTTTTGAAAGCACAAGTTGACACATAATTACTTGGAGAAAATCTTGATGTCTCCTGACTTATCTGTACCTGAACATGTGAAAAGGGCAGTCATCCCACACACATATTCTCTCCTCTCTGTTGCGAAAGCTGTTCTCTTCACTCTCGTTCCTACCCTAGTGGTTTGTGAGTCAGTGGCTGCTCGAAGGATCCTGATATTAAGACTGAGGTGTCACTCATTTAGAGTGACAGATGACATCTCCCATGAAGTCTGAACCTTGATAGGAAGGACCCCACGGGAAGGGTACACTGGACTTGTTTAGCAACCTTCCCAGGAAACCCAAAAGCCCTGCAGCTAAGAATGTTGTGGTGGTGGGTATTGTGTCTCCAGTGCAAGTGTTCTGCTCTCTTGACTTTCTCATCCAATATACCCTACCATTCAATCGTTTAGAATCAGTACGTTTTTTAAATGTTTTGAGTCTCTTAAAAAAGGTTTCTTGCAACTCAGAATTCTTGGGGGAAATGCATAATTTTAAGATATAAGAGATTTTAAGATATATCAGATTTTATTTTATTTTTTCGCAATTCCAAGTTTACATCTCGCAATCTTGCCTTTTTTCTCAGAATTCTGAGTTTATATCTCACAATTCAGTTTTTTTTTTCAATTCAGACTTTTTCTTGCAATTATGAATTTATATTTCACAATATTGATTTTTTTTGCTCAGAATTCTGAGTTTACAGTATATAATTCTGACTTTATATCTTAACAGTCTTAATTGTTAGATAAAACGTCACTATTACCTTTTTTATTTTTAATGCCATTGCTGAATCAAGCTTCCATACACTCAGCAAGGCTGGGGAAAAAACGCAACTGCTTTCTATTTGTAATTATTTTAAAATGAAATGTATTCCTGTGATGCCAAAGCTGAATTGTCAACAATAATTTCTCCAGTCTTCAATGTTACATAATCCTTCATAAATCATTCTATGCGGATTTCGTGCACAAGAATCATTGCTTGTTATTATCAATTCTGAAAACAGTATTTTTTATTTAATATTTTACTGAAAGCTGCTTTTCTTTTCAACTGTGCCTCAGTTATTTCTAGGATTCTTTAAAGAACAGCATTTGTTTAAAATGTAAATCTTCTATAAAATTAAAATATCCTTACTGTCACTTTTGACCATTTTAATTGCCTTATTTTTGCTGAATAAAAGTATTTTTTTCTATCTATCGTATCTTAATATCCCCTTTTCACTTTTGAACGGTAGTATAATTAGGAAATCTGATGGCTGGTCTGACAGTGCTAAGCTACATCCATCTACAAAGCAAAGAGCCTTAGCTATTTTCTTTATTACACACCTTCTTGCTATATTGACTTCAAACACTAGATATCTCAGCGAGAATCTAGGTCAGTGAATGATTGATTTCTGTATCTCACAACAGCAAGGTCCAATTACTGTTCTTTGACTAACTTAAAAATATCTCCATGAGAACCTTCTGAATTAATCATGAAGCAAAACAGTAGAATAACGCGAACCATTTTACTTTTTAAAGCCTTTCTTGGCCTTATAATTTATTGAAAAGATCTGTTTATTTTTTTTGCTGTTTATTTGTGTGTATGATGTAACAGGGAAAACATCTCATCTCATCAGATTATTGTAAATAATAAAATATGGATGTGGAAGAGAGAGAGTTTATGTAGCCTACAGGGTAAATATTATCATTCTGCATTTGACAGCGATTATCTGGGCATCTCATGGCACCAAAGATTAACAGCTTTCGACACAACTGATCATTTACCAGCTAACAGAGAACATGAGACATGCTGATTTGAAAACCAATGGACAGCTTAGCCTTAAGCCCTCAGCTAATCACAAGATGGAAATCTGCAAAGTTTCTCATAGTTTTTCAGGCCACAGTCTATAGTAAAAGATAGCAACAAACAGTGATTGCTATCAATAAACCTTCATGTCACTTGAGAAGGTCAATATAATCTCAATTGAAGGGCCTAAAATGCACAATATGTAAGATTTGTTTATTAAAATATCCAAAAACCACTAGAACAGTGTTATATATTTTGCTGACTTGTGTACTTATATTATCCCAAATGTTTCGAAGAATGTTTAAATCCAGAGAAATAAGAAATTCTAACTAGTGACACGGACCATAGTGTCATTGTGTCGCCTGCCAATGATGTCATACACCCTCAATTTCCGGTTTTGTTTTGTAGAAAACATGGAAACACCAAAGACGCTTTAATATGCTATGCATTTTATTAGACAGGTGACGACTGCACAGAGTAGCATTATAACAGAACGTTCAAATGTATCTAGTATGATAAAACAGCGCTGCTTACTTCCGCTGCTTTCCGGAAGGAGCGGAAGCGGTCGACTGTGGCATAATAAAAGCTCCGCTGCTTTCGAGCCATGTGTCACGCTCGTTCAGCGGCCTCGTTTCGCTTCGACGGCTTTCCGCCTCACTCTGCTTCATACTACGATGTTAATAAATCTTTAATACATTAGCTCATCCATGAACATAATTTCTGCCCGAGTCCCATCGGATTGCATCGGCTGTGGAGATGAAGATGACAACTCCCATGATTCCACACTCAGTCACGGCGTCATCTAACTACCCTTTGTTTCTTTGTTTGTTTTGAATACGCGCCCTCCAGTGGCAAAACAATTACATATTGTGACTTTAATGTAACTCTATGCCAACTCAATCAGACACAGTATTCGTTCCAGTGCACATCACTTTTGGATGTCGATAACTCATATGTGCATAGCAGGGTTGTTTATTTATTTATTTATTTATTTATTACTACAAAGCAATCTTCTAATGAAATTAAGCAATGAGGCCTGTGACACAGGGCAGAAAATATGGAATTAAGTCTCTTAAGCCAGCATTAATATCAATAATAGTTTGACAGTTTTAAAATGAAGCTGATATGATTATCATGATGATTATTCACTGTAATGGTGAGTCTAAGTGCAAGCAAAAGACAAAACAGACACATGTGATTTCACTTATAATGCTCCCATAATGCACATTTAATGCAATCTTCAGTAATTTTCACACACACATGTGTGTGTATGTGTGTGTTATATATATACATAAACACACACACACACACACACACACACATCACACACAAACTAATTTTTACATAGCTATCATTCATAGCTATAAAGCATTATTATGGATTGATATTTTATCATTTATGACAGGATTTAGAGTAGAAATAAATCATGGTCATATTTGTTGCGTTCCTTAACTAGTTCAAGACTGAAATGGTTAAATTTGACGATCAGTGGAACCGTTATAAACACAAGCACAATATACATTAAAACTATTCACATTAATTATAAAACACAATTTCAATCTATTAGCTATAGTAACACAAATCGTCTTCTAGAATATAAAAGAAGCCGGTTTTAAACTGTTTATCTAATTAAACTGTTTTCAAAATCAAGTGATTTAAACAACAAACATGTTTCGTAAACGATATGTTAAATATAACCCTGCAATCCATCGTACAGTCCCGACATTGCATGTTTTCATACATCAAAATATTTCATTCGAATTCATAAACGTATGACATATGACTCACTGCGTACTTACATTTAAAGCCGCGCAATCGCTTGCATTTCTCAAACTCTTAGAATATCGAATCACTCATCTACATATGCTGTATCTGTTGTAAATCCGAGCCATTTAGTTCTGTGAAAAGAAAGACGTGACTTTCAGCGGTTTTTCCAGGCGCCGGTATCCGTCAGTGATGCGCAACTACTCCACAGCAGTCTGTCTAAACTACTGGTTGCATCCCAGACACATTCTGCGCTGTGCGCATAGGAGAAGAACCTATCAGTGATGGTTCAATAGTGATTGGAAGGAACAGGCTTGGAAAGTGGCACATCTCACATGCTTTGAAAATATAGCCTGCATTGAATCACAGTGGCATGTAATCATCACATAGGCACATCATACTACTAATCTCCATAGGCTATTTTGCACATGTAAGCAAACCCAATCTCTTTTTTATATGACATGTCACTTTGACCAAAAGGTTATTTCCTTTGAGGCATGAAATTGTATTTTCACATGCTCGCCCACTTACTTCTGGCAAATAAGATGCATAGATTATACCAGAGCACTCTAAATGCATTCGCTTCTTCAAGCAGGTTGTTAGAGGCTGGATTCTGCAATTTCGTAATAAACCCGCTTACTGCTTCTCTCCAACATTTAACTGCCAACAGGCACATAGATCTAATTGTAAGAGATTCATTTTGAAACTGATGGATGTTTTCTTGGCATATTTGAGAGCTGAAAATGTGTGTAGATCATTGTATGTTTGACTGTAGGCTATTGAAGTTTTGAGAAGGTAAGTTAACTAAAAAAAAAAATCCCAGAACTTATTTGTGGTTGAAAACAGCATGTATTCTCTGATTTATCTTCATCAAGCACCTGCAAGTCCATTGGTGCCAAAGCTAATTGACTGCATATCCATGCACATCAGCATGTTGCCTGTCAGATCAAACATTACACAAGATGCATTCAAATAGGTTCCTCCCACAATGCTGCAGAATAAAAACATTTTCAGGGTTGCATGTCAAACGCAATGCTGTTCCTGTCCAAAAAGTTCTCTGCTCGCTCATGCAAATATAGACAGTGCAGGCTTCCTGCAACACTCCCACTGAAGACATTTAAATATGTCCTTTAGTGTATCACCCCATGAGAACAGAACAGAGAATTGTGAACCTATAAGGGATTTAAATCATTATTCAGTATGAAGCATGACTTGGGACAAAAACAACACTACATTAAAACAGACAAGACATTAATTGTGTAAATTTAATGGCAAAATAAACAAAGCCAACTGCTCTGACACATTATCATACCGAACAAAATTCACAATCTTATCTATAATGGAGAATTCATGCAGAAAAATTAGGTCATACTATGTTGAATATTATATTATATTATATTATATTATATTATATTATATTATATTATATTATATTATATTATATTATATTATATTATATTATATTATATTATATTATATTAAACTGACTAATAACAGGAATTCAATTACTGTTTTATTTGTATTTCTTGAAATAACCTCTAACAAATCCATACGTATAATAATCTGGATGCTGCCAGTGTTTTGAACCAAGTCACATAGAAAAATGGGTTTGCACAGTGCTTGATATGCTGTTTATGCTGCTGATCTAAGCAGTGATTGGACAGCAAAGACCATACTCAGACTGCTCACTGCTTTTTGAGTTTTAATTGCCTGCAAGTAGTCCACTGGGACAGTTCCTCATTTTGTTTGATAAATCTTTAATTGTAGGCCTTCTGTTAAGTTGAACCTGGGCCTAATTATAACTAATTATAGCAAGTATTAATAATTTATTTAACATTTTATGCACTTATATAAAACATGTAATTATTCAAGTATTGTTTTACTGTTGTTTCAGTGATTGCACTTGAATTATTTTAAAAATAATTTAGCTGAAGAAAAAGTTAAAGGGCAAAAAGTACCTATTTTAAATAGCCTAAAATATGCTGATTGTTTAGCTTGTGCAAGAGATGAGGTAATTTCCTGTGAAGACACATAACAGATGGCAAACGATGAGCCGTATAGTGAAATAAGTCGGGTGCAACTGTAATAGCAGAAAGAAACTGAGGCAACAGCTGCATGAATTATGACCTGTCCCTGCTTGAGACCTGTCAAGAAGAGAGTGAAAGAAGGGAGAGAATTGGCGTTTAAAACTCTGCCCAGGTTGGCTAACATTGCTCGATCAACACCTACAGCACTCTCCTAATGCCATCATCTCGACAAGGCAAGACCGGTTTCTAACATTGTAAGCTCCCATGAGGCTCAAAAGTAAGCTGTCAGGCACTTTGCAATCTAGTGCCGCCCACTCTCGTCCTGGCAGCTTCTTGGAAAGCCTGGAGTCCATGCCATGCACTTGATGTCGCACCACTCTCTTGACAAAATGTCAGCGGCATCCCTGTTGCTGTCTGTCTGCTCGAACCACACCTGGCAGTTTCCTTCATTGTGGGGGACAGGAGTTCCAGTGAAGTTTGAAGTTTTTGGAGCTCGAAGCCCGTGGCTGAGCGGATAGACTGTGGAGTGCGAGAGCACCATGTGATAAAGCCTCAAGCCCAATTCTGACATGTGTAGGGTAAAAAAACTCAGGACTTACGTAAGGATATGACAGAGCGAGGGCTCTCGCTTGGGCCTCTGAGTAATATGAATCAGGAGAGGGCAGGAGGTTTCAGGAGAGTCTGGTGCCGGCATTGCTGTCGACTGGCAGCATTGCCCTGAGTGTCGAGCTGTGTGCCACCCACCACCGCCGCAGTGCCCGATGACAGCATGCACTAACCCTGCCTCATTCCCTGGCCAGCTCCCAGGAGCGATGAGCTTATGAAGCGGTTTACATACAACGCTACACTGGCTCCACAAATATTTCACAACAACCAGCTCACTGCAAAAGGGAAACTGATGTGATATGATGTCAGGATCGATGCTTGGAAATGTTTCTCCTCATTCTGTCATTTCATGGCGAGGAACAATGTCTCAAAAGCAGGGGTGGGGGTGTATAGTTCAGCATAAAAGAAACTCACAGCAAAAGACAGGAAAGCTAAAATGACAGGTGACAGCAATTACTGTACAATGTAAAACAGCACATAATGTGGATACCCTCCTACTCTTGCTTACAACAACAGCTTCAATAAAATAAAATGAAATAGCTTCAATAAACATCAACAGCAGCATTTCATCTAATATTTCCTTATTTTTCATCACTAATTCATACACCACAAGCAGCCATTACTCCAGTCTTCAGTGTCACATGATCATTCAGAAATTATTTTGTAACATTTTGTAATCTTTTGTAGCATTATAAATGTCTTTACTGTAATTTTCGTTAAATTTTTATTTTATTTTTTTATACATATAATAATATGAAACCTTAGCTTGAAGTATATAGTTGCCTTTATTTCATTGATATGATCAGCACTTTACAAAATTAATTACAATGTTTAATTAATTCAAACAAAACTGTCAAAACTAATTCAATGAATATATTTATCTCTCTCTTGTACTGGTGAATCAGTATGTCTGCATTATCAAACAGTTGTGTGGTATATGAATTATTTCTTCTGCTCATTTGACCACAAGCAAAACTGCTGAAAGTAATACAGGCAGTTCTCGCCTAAGATGCCCCATTCACAGTTCTCATTCATACAGATAGAGCAGAACTTGTCAGATGCCATGACAGAGACAGAGAAACATAATTTGGAGTTATTTCACACTAAATCATGGAGAAGCGGTCATACTTCATTGTTCCATTGTGGCAAAACAAATAGTAATCCCAAATACAAGTGTATTCTAGACATAATTGCAACCCACAACTACCCATATTTTTTAGCATCTATATTGAAAAAATACTAATTAAAATAAAAAACCTATGCTCAAAGTCACTTTGAATAATCAGACATAGCAACAATGGCCCTAGGCTCTGTAAAAAAAAAAAATTTGTCTTCATTTTTTACCCAATCAGAAACGTCTCTAGGTTACGTATGTAGCCATGGTTCCCCGAGGGAACGAGACGCTGCATCAAAGTCGCTTTGGGAATGCTCTTGCGTGACCGCGTTCTGAAGCACGTGTCAAATCCATCCAATGGAGCAGTGAGACGTCACCAGCGGGGTGACGCAAGCACCAGAAAGCATAAAAGCGCATCCAGCAAAGCGCAAACCAGCTTCGATGAAGTAGCGCCTGCAGGGATGCAGGGAGTATGGCAAAGAGACGCAGCGTCTCGTTCCCTCGGGGGAACCATGGTTACATGCGTAACCTAGAGACGTTCCCCTTAAGGAACTCGAGCTGCATCGAAGTCGCTTTGGGAACGAGAATACCCAAGAAGAGGTCCCTCCTGATCGGAATCTCCAGCGGAGAGCCATCGAGAAGGGACACCAAGTCCGAGAAGCATACATGGGCCGGCCAGAATGGGGCTACTAGCAACAAACGGACTCCATCCTGGCGTACCCTCTCCAGAACTCCCGGGAGCAGAGCGATCGGGGGAAAAGCGCACAGACGACGCCTCGGCCACGTCTGCACCATGGCATCAAGCCCCAGAGGAGCTGGATGCCCCTGATTTAGATACCCAGGGATATAAACTGCTCTTAGAGAGAGGAGCTTCCCCTTAGCCCACAGAAGGATCTGGCGCACCAGCTTGTACAAGGGGCGCGAACGCAGACCCCACTGCCGATTGATGTAGGAGACCATCGATGTGTTGTCTGTGCGGACAAGCACATGATGCCCCCTTAGGTCTGGAAGGAAGTGTGTCAGAGCTCGAAACACGGCCAGCATTTCTCGGCAGTTGATGTGCCAAAAGAGATGATGGCCTTCCCACAGACCCACCCATGACCGCTCCCCAGCCCGTGAGAGAGGCATCCGTCATTAGCATTACGCGACGACAAGGAGCCCCTGACAAGGGCCTTGAACCAGGAACCAACGTTTCTTCCACATGTCTAAGGCACATAAGCATCGCCACGTGACCTTGATCATGCAAAGCGGATTCCCCCTCTGGGAAAATCCTTTGGTTCTGAGCCACCCCTGCAAGGGTCTCATGTACAGCAGGCCAAGAGGTATCACGTTGGACGCCGCTGCCATCAGGCCCAACAGCCTCTGAAACTGTTTGGGATGAGGACCGAGAAAAGGACGAGCCCGTCTCGGATCCCTCCACTAAATCCACCCGCGATCCCCAAGACAACAGTCTGCGCTGTGCCTCGGCAACCGCGAGCCTGGCCGCTCTCATCAAACACAGCCAGGCGAGAGCGGAGCGTGCG